GCAAAACAAAGATATTAAAATAAAGCAAAACATATTACAATTTTGGATTTAGTTCATGGTAATGGCATCCCAATTATACTCCGACACAACCCATATCCGTATGTTTTATTTACGGATTGTTCTGACGATGAAACTTTTGTTTAATTACACCATTGCACCGTTATCCTCCATCACTGCATTCTTGTAACTTGCTGCTATATGAAGGACAAATCATAACAACTTTACAGTATAGATGGTGTATGCAGATTATTTCATGAACTCGTCAACATTGCAAAGGTTTGCCAAACGTTGTCAATGGGGGAGTTCCTATTCCAAAACCAAGAACACATGCATGCAGGGTAAGGATTTTGTAGTGCAACAACAACTACAAAACATAAATATAAGTATGATATTTATGTACGACTGGACCATGCTCAATTTTATATATATTTCAAACTCACTAATTCGGACTACGCTCAATTTTATATATATTTAAAACTCACTCATTCAGACAAATCCAAATAACATTTTCTCGATTTTGCTGCTATTTAATTTTTTTGTTCCCCTCTATGTTAAATGCTCAATATTATATGTAGTTTCCAACAAAAACTAATTTATACTGTATATCCACTTCGGCTGGGTGTTAAGTGGAGGGCCAACCCCGATGTTGTTTCAACTCCTAAGGGATTAAATCACTGTTTCTGATAACTTTACGATGCCTTGGGGGAAGTATTTTAAAAAGAGAGTTTCTAATTATTATTTACCAATTAGACTGGGAATACGATGTATGTATTGTTGTGACAAGTACGTATATATTGTTGTGTTATTGTATTTTTCCTATGCAATGAATTATTTCATTTTACTTAGAACTTATTCAAAAATCGATCATAATTAAAAAAATGCCCAAACTCTATTTGTCGGGATTGGTACGACATTTCCTTCGATCACATACTTCAAATCTCGTCATTGTCATCAAATTTTGATCCCGTCCTTATGTGATCAAACAAACAATAGCTTAGGGTTTACACAATTGTGGTTATGTTATCATTTGCTTTGCATAATTCACATTTATGGTTGTCCCCCAAATTGTACTTCAAAATTTATTTAGGTTTTAGAGGTTTGGGGTTAAGAGTTAGGGTTTAGGTTTTAGGTTGTAGGGGTTAGGGTTTAGAGGTTTGGGGTTAAGAGTTAGGGTTTAGGTTTTAGGTTGTAGGGGTTAGGGTTTAGAGGTTTGGGGTTAAGAGTTAGGGTTTAGGTTTTAGGTTGTAGGGGTTAGGGTTTAGAGGTTTGGGGTTAAGAGTTAGGGTTTAGGTTTTAGGTTGTAGGGGTTAGGGTTTAGAGGTTTGGGGTTAAGAGTTAGGGTTTAGGTTTTAGGTTGTAGGGGTTAGGGTTTAGAGGTTTGGGGTTAAGAGTTAGGGTTTAGGTTTTAGGTTGTAGGGGTTAGGGTTTAGAGGTTTGGGGTTAAGAGTTAGGGTTTAGGTTTTAGGTTGTAGGGGTTAGGGTTTAGAGGTTTGGGGTTAAGAGTTAGGGTTTAGGTTTTAGGTTGTAGGGGTTAGGGTTTAGAGGTTTGGGGTTAAGAGTTAGGGTTTAGGTTTTAGGTTGTAGGGGTTAGGGTTTAGAGGTTTGGAGTTAAGAGTTAGGGTATAGGTTTGGTATTAAAGGGGTTAGGTTTTAGAGGTTTGGGGTTAGGGTTTAGGGGTTTGGGGTTAAGAGTTAGGGTTTAGGGTTTAGGATCATTAAACTATTTCTTTTTCATTGGATCATTATAAGGAGTTTGTAGTTTAGATGTATGGCAAGATTTAAGACTAAAAGGAAATAGGGTCTTGATCTGAATACCGTCTATTTAGAAAATTGAAATAAAAGTATACGGACTATATTGTTAGCTATTATAACATGAAATTAACCAAAACCAAAGCTGACCACTTATGAAAAAGAGCATAAGAGAGACAACAATCGAGAGAAGGGAGAGACAGAGAGACAACAATCGTTTGTGTATCCACATGTCTACCAAGTAATGGGATTCTGAATAGCATTCCTTTGGTCAGGAATTAGGGTACTAAAGAATAACTTGAGATGAGTGCTATCAACAAACAATAACTTGGGCTTGGTATTAAAATGATATTCTACATGTTGTGTTCAAAAACCAAGGTAATGTATTTGCCTCTTGCGATTATGTTTGTGAAGATATATTTTCCTTTTTTTTTTTGTACAAATGAACTTTTATAAATAAAGACCAAAGAGAGGTCAAAGAACCACAAACAGGACAAAACCAGTCAAACAACATGAAACGACAATATGTTGATCAAACCTGTCATCTTGAGTATCACGCTTAAAGGATAAAGAAACCGAAACCAACTCCAAACCCACCACTGAGATACGTACGGATTCTCTTTCATGTTTACCAGTCAATGAACACGTGCACCATCACCCAATGACAAGTTTCCTTTTCGAGGGCACACGTTGTCCTATTTTGTATTCTCATTTTGTTTATGTTTAAAAATAAATTTTATTTTATTTTATTTGCTCAGTGTTCTATGAATATAGTCAAGACATCCACGCATTTCATTTTATGCAATGTCGACTTCCTCAGCCAACACTCAACGAAAGAGGTGTCCACACTGCAGTGCTGAGATGGTCATGTTCATTTCCAAATCCGAAAGGAATCTGGGCAATGAAAGATTTGATGATTGAATGATGTTTTGCTTGATTGATTCATCTCCATATAGGAGGTATTTATACAAGATAGATAATAATAAACTAAGAGACAATACAAAGTGGTACATGATGGATACAAAGATTAATAACATAAAGCTAAGATAGTGGTGGATAATGAGTTGGTGGATTGGTGGATAACATGTTCTCTAATAGGCAAGTCATATTGGAAGTGCTTCACCTCATATGTAAGTATTTAGTTTCCACAAATATTTTCTTCCCAATCTAAAAATTGTAATGTATTATATTCGGTTATTTTGTAGGGAGCTACTAGGTGTAGTGGATATGATTGGGTGACTACAGCCAACATGCCAAGTGAATCTCACCTTCAGCAGCCTACCGCTATGCCTAATGCCAAGGAACTGAAAACATCTGCTGACATAATCCAAATACTGAAAGCCATTCAAGATATGTTTGTAGTGCTGTTAGTTGTATCCATTGTGAATTTAGCTGTGAATTACATGAAAATGTAATCACTGTTTTGACTTCCTTGTAATATGAATATCTTTTAAAGTTTCCATTTTGTAATAGGAATCTTTTGGTTTCAATATTCTGTTTGTAAACTGATCAACCAGTAAGGGGTAAAACCCAAGCGACTGGGAAGTGCTGTCATGGTTATTGTATGAGAATATGATTTTTTTTTCTTTCCCAAATTTCCTCTTTTTGCATACGTAAAAGTATTTTGTTTGTAAAGTGCTCAATGGGAAATGGGTAAAGAAACCGAATGCATTACTTCACCAACTTTTTTGATACAGTCATGCTTATTCAATACATGGTCATAATACAGTCATTTGAATTCCATTAAGTACCAACGCAGGGAGAACTTACTTATCTCCTCCCCAATATTTGGAATCTCCTGTCTTTGCCAAGAAGTCTCCCTTCCCACAGATCTTAGCCGCTTCATGGAAGGCTCAGCAATTATACTCTTTGCTCGACCCCGCTTTTTCTGGACCTTACTCACACCTATAGCATGAACAACATCATTATCATCATCGGCATCACCCTCTTCCATTTGCACTTTCCATTTTCGACAGGGTTTTTTAAGAAAGTTAAAAAGGGTCACACAAACCAATGCAGGATCATTCCATTTGCACTTTCTTGATTTTGCATATATATATATATATCTCTCTCTGTCTCTCTTAGTTTAAAATATTTTCTCTTTCTTCTCTCAATTGGCTCTCTCTTTCTCTTTTTTAATTCTTTTTTCTCCATCAGTTTCTCTCTCTCTCTCGTTCCTTATCTTCTTTCCATCTCTATAAATTTTCCATCGCCCTCTGTCTCTTATCTCCTCCTTATTTCTTCTTATTCATAAAAAAATACCCATTGACATACCAAAAATACACAAACCGATCCATAACACACAAAAGGCACAGATTTCAAACACCAAAGGTGACCACTTTATATGAACATGAGCATAACAAAGAGGGGTCACGAAAAATAAAAAGCAAATTTGAACCCAAAACCAGTAATGAATGAATAAGAAAACTAAAAACTAAAAACTAGAGCTACCCAGATGATAAAACAAGGGAAAAAACAGAGGAGGACGAGGCTACGGATGTGAGAAGGAGAAGAAAAAGAGAGACAGAGAGAGAAAAGAATAAATAAAAAAATAAAGAGAGTGGCGACCGAGAGAAGGTACTAAATAGCATTCCTCTGTTGAGGAATTTAGGTACTAAATAATTTCTTGGGATGGGAATGTTTTTATGCTATCAACAAATAATAACTTTGGGATGGGTATTAAATGATATTATGCATGTGCCGTCTTCAAAAACCAAGTTAATGCTAATATTATATGTGGCAAAAACCAAACTAATGCTAATACTATATGTGGTTAAACCAAAGCAACAAGAGGACAAAAAACCACCAAGAGGACAAAACTAGTCAAACAGCAAGGACAAAAAAATAAACCAAAGCAACAAGAAGATATGTTGAAATCAACCCTGTCGTCTTGAGCCTCATGATTAAAGGACAAAGAAACCGAAATTAAGGATAAAGAAACCGAAACCAACCCCAAACCCACCACTGGGATACATGGGGAATCGCTTTCAATATTCTGTTTGTAAACTGATCAACTAGTAAGGGGCAAAACCCAAACGACTACTACATTTTGTTTTCACATATGTACATTGGGAAGTGCTTTCACGGTTATTGTATGACAATATGGCATAACATTATCCACCCTTCTCATATTGTATCACGGTTATTGTATGACAATATTGTATGTACATATTTTCTTCGGCTTCTGAAGTTATAAAAAAAAACCTTTCTAATTAAACAACATGCACCTCTGTGTTCAGAGTGAATTGCTAATATATTCACATCACCGTAATCAAAACAAAATAGTGTTGCATGTGTGTTCACACGGTTGGTAATACCTCTCAAGTTCAAAACTAAGGCAGTTAAACATTCAGCCATAATCATACAGCTATATATTGTAGCATCCCTGCAACAAGTCTACAGTAAGCTTTAGACGGAATAAATGCATGGCCTCATTTGAAATTTTCCCCAACTCCACATTCCAGCTCAGAAAGTCACAGTATTTGATGACAAACATCCCGCAGTCACCGCTGAAAATAGGTAATAAACTGTGAATCATTCCACATTCGCAAATAACATATGTAAATGGTTAGGTAGAAAGTTACTCACCCTCCAACTTGTTGGGCAGAATCCATTACACGATGAATTGGCCACTCACCTTTTCGCAGAGGAAAATCACCAACATACCCAGCTTCTTCTAACAATGGAGTGATCAATTTTGCAAGTGGCTGCACTGCCTTTACCAATATGTGGGTCCTAAACAAATCTATATTTGAATCGTACACAAAAATTTCACAACTTGTTAAATCTAAAACAAGTCCCACCCAGTGCTTTTGACTCACATTGTACGGCATAAAAACTTTTTTCACGGAAGACCAAGGTTTACCCCACGTAGGCAGTTTGCCATTAACCATTTTCACCAAAGCATTGCTATGGGTCCTATCTTCCTTTCCACCATAAAGGCGCATATGTTGCAAATCTATTGCAGCATAAGTCTACATAATGGCATACCAGTTATGCATCAGTTCAGATACCAAATGAACCAATTTAGCATGCATAATATATTATGGAAGATACATACCTGGAACAGAGTATCTACTATTGCCCAGTCCGAACGCACCAAGTTTGCATATATTGTCTGCCGTACCCTTAGCAAATACAATCCCATGTCGATGTTCTACACCAACAAATTTCCAATATTACCCCAATAAATCGTATAACAGCAGTTATTTGGGCACACCATAAAACAACATTAATACAACAACAATGAAGTTTCTATGTATTTATCTGCAATCTTTTATGAAATTTATTTTAATCTATAACATTATTTACTTCTTATACTTTGACTAATGTCATTTTACCACCCAAACAAATATTATGTTTCAGTTGCTCTATACTTACTGTGTCATTCAACCAACCATCCTTGGTCAAAAGGCGAATGAAGAAGTCATGCGAAGTGTCCACACCATGTTTTCCACATAATCTCACATGCGTACTGCAGGTGTCACCAAATATTAAAATCAAATCAGTTTCACCAAGTTCCTTACCAGAAAAATAAATCAGATTCACCAACAACTCAATAAGTTCTCATAATACAGTCATTTGAATTCCAATAAGTACCAAAGCAGGGAGAACCTACTTTTCTTTTTGTCCCCATTCCCAGAAGAATTTCGCTGTCTCTAGAAGCAAACCACGACGAACTGGCCTCAGGGGGTCAAAAGTAAGACCAACTGTCTCCTCCCCAATATTCGGAATCTCCTGCCTTTGCCAAGGAGTTTTGCATTCCACAGACTTTGGCCGCTTCATGGCAGGCTCAACAATTGAACTCTGTGCTCGACCCCGCTTTTTTTGGACCTTACGCACAACTACATCATCATCAAGATTATTATCATCATCGGCATCACCCTCTTCCATTGCCACTTTCCATTTTCGACAAGGGTTTTTAAGAAAGTTAACAAGGGTCACACAAACCAATGCAGGATCATCCCAGTTAATCTCTGGGGTTATGTATTCCACGTCTCCCTTGTCATTTTCTACAGCATGTACCTTCTCTCCACCCTTCTCATCTTCATCCTCTCTCTCCTCTTCGTCATCCAGCTTTTCATCTTTCATTTCACTGTCTTCAAC